TACAGCAGCATCTGCTCTGAGGCACCCAGCGCATCAGGTGGGATCCTGGTGGTATTTGAACAAACACAGAAGGCATATGTATGTGTATGTAAGTGTTAGAGTAACTAGGGAGACTGGTGAGGGTATGAGTAGTGCCTTGAGGCGAGGAGCAGAAGGGTGGCAGGGTTTCTGACTCCCACCGCGGCCTGTTTAGACACTAGCCTCTATTACTCATCTACGTGTCACTAATGCTTTTCATATGAATGAACAAACAGATACAGATACACTGCAGAGATGCAACACTACCACCACGGGGGGAAGAGTAAGTGTGAATAGCCTGTGAGACTGGGATGAGACACCCTTAGTCATACTCCCGCCTGTCTGAGCAGTGAGAGTTGCCATACAGTTACAAGTAATTGATCTAAAAAAAACTAAATAAATCAAACCCAGCTGTCTTTTATATGGCTGGAAACATACAGTGTGGTAGCAGTGAATAAGCAGTGATGTATCTATGCACCTGTTGTCTGGCTTGTCCCTCTCATCTTACCCAGACTCTGCTCATTTGGGCTCCTCTCCTGCAGCAGCAGCTGTGAATATGTACACCTTGTTAGGGGGTTGACAGTTCTGGCAGAGGGAGAGACAGCGAAGTAGCTTGTTATGAAGAACAGGCTAACTATATGTCAATCTCTGCTGTGCCGCGAGGAAACGCAACAACAGGCAAAGAATAAACAAGAGATCTCCTTTAAAATGCAAAAGCATAAAAAATCCTCCTTTCATCCTAGGGTAAATTCATTATAAAGCCAGCTACGTTATATCGATTTAATTATTTGAATGTAGTGAACTAAAAGCTAATTGACCCCAGACATTGTGCTAATAAAACAGTATGGTAGATTGGATACCAAAAATGAGATTTGCCTCAGAAACATGTGGACGGCCTGATCATGATGATCTGCCCCACTCTGATCCCCATTTAGCGCTCATCCAGCTCCATCATGTCTGTGCTGTAATTACACTGCATCCAAAATGCTCGCAGATTCAGCAAATCCCTGATCAGCATTATAGACTTACAGTGATTGGGCTGTCTGTGCCTGATTATCATAACCCTGTGTGATGCTGAAAAAGGGTGAGAGCTGGGGTCACTGAAAAGACACTATAGCTAATTCAAGACTTCATAACAATGTTTATTTTATGATCAACCCAGCTAATGTTTTAATAAACTTGGAAAAATGTTCTCTTAATTGTAAAGATAACAACTGTAATGTAAAATGTAGATTCAGGCCAAGTTTTTTGAGCATATTTGGTTGAATAAAATCTAATGTATTATATCTTGTTTGGTCAGTTTGTCAAAAAAAAAAAAAAAACTTTAACAATGAAAGGTTGTGGCTTGTTCTATTCGTAAGTGATGAGCTATTCTTTTAACTGTTATACGGCTCTAAAACCTTCATGACTATGGTTATCTGAACTGTTGTTTTAGGAGAGAGGTTGCTTGTGTTCAAAAATACTCACTAATGTTGATCAAATAAAAGTAATTCCTGGTTCCAGCAAGTCAAATGTTAGTAATTACTGATTGGAAACTGAATGCCATCGGCCTGTGGACTGCTGGTCAGAAAAAAATAACATATTTAAATATGCCATAATGAGCTGAGGAAATTTGCGATGGACTTTCACTATTGTAACATTTTTAAAATGACAAATAAAAGACCCAAAAATGAAGATATAAGGTGAATTTGCTAACAGCAAATTATGCAAGAGAAAGATTGTTGCGTTAATTAGCTGATATGATCTTTATTCTTTAATAAAACACAAACATATGGAGCATTAGGTAGCGGTTTCAAAATCATCCTACAACAATGCTGGTGTTTGATTACAGAAAATTAGTTCTAATCTAAAATTGTAGGAATTAGTGACCAAAAATCCGAAACCGAAAGACCCGTATCTGTGCTTAGGTGAAGATTTGTTGTTTGCTGTTAATTCAAAGCAGGAGTGGGTGCATATATGAGACAATGCAGCATGGCGGTGTCCTCCTCTCATCAGCTGTAATGATCAGAGCTGTGAGGATTAAGTACCGATGTCCCAGTAAAGGAGCTTTGCAATGCCAAATGTAGGACCACTGGCTCCCCTAAGCTGCCTAATTTGCTCATCCACAGATGCTACAGCTCCCTCAGAGTGGATTAAAGGCACAGGAATGGTGTGGAGCACCTCGCTGTGGCCAACAGTGGAACTGCAGGAAGAAGCCACATAGATGAAAACTACTGACAGACACATTATTACAATATAACCCCCACAAGTGCTGATGTGTAAAGTCATCAGGGCTGAATGTGATGATATTCACATTCAAATTATTCTTTATCACAAACTGAAAGCTGTAACTAAACTAATATATGCTATTTTTTTACATTACATTATGATAATCAGTCTAATCATTATTACATTCCTAGTAAAAGCATTACATTGATACCTACAACACTTAACTATAGTGTTGCAGACACACAAGAGTATATGCAATGATCAGCTTTACATAAAAACTGTACAAGTCTCTACTTTCTACATTCATAAGATTTTTATTGGTACCTAAAAATAAGGGCAACAGCGGCAAAAAGTAGAGGAACCATTTAATCCGTGGATGCATAACACACATGATCTGCCACCGGACACACAGCGTTTCAGGGTTAGTAACAGACAACTAAACCATGCATTCAAAGCTCCCCGCTCCCCCCCTCCCCTCCCCTGTTTTTATACTCTGAGGCTAGGGAAGTACCTCAAGATCACAGGGAAGAAGAAACAGGAATTGTGCTTAAATGGGCCATTCACAAGACCCAGTGCATGACAAGCAAAACAGTGGCAAGATACATTTTTGTGGTTACAGTCTGTCCCCACATTATTCAGGTTTTGTGATTGTCTTCAGTGAGAGAGAGACAGAGACAGAGGGGGGAGACGGAGGGGAGACAGGGGGTGAACATGTGACAGTGTAACGCTGGACTCATGAGGAATGCAAATTGAGACAGTGGTTGTTTCTGTGTGAATCAGGCAGCATGGAGAAGGCCTGTGACATCGATCTGCCTCACCACTGAAATCTTCCTCTTTTTCTGCACTATCAATGTGGCAAATGAGATTGTCTTAGCTGAAACATGTAATGAACAAAGAAACGTTTCAAACTTGGAAAATTAATAGTGTCTTTTCTGTACGCATGATCCATACGAGATCTGGTATTACTCATGTTGGAGTGGACAATCAATTGACCAGAAGCTGATGAGTAGAAAATTAACTAAAAAGCATTTCCGCAAGAAAATGCAAGTGATTGCTGACATGTAAAACATTTTATTAAGATATGGTGCATGTTTGTGTCATCATAATAAGCTATCACGCTGTCAGTACTGGGCATTTTGAAAATTATGTGAATAAAATGCACATATTTTAATGGATTATACACAGCTGTATACAGTTTGTGTAAATAACAGCTGTAAATATATTCATAATGGACTTATGTAGTGAATAAGAGTGCAGTACTATTTATCTTTAGGCATGGCCATTTATATTGCACGTTTACAAGAAATCATTGAGCAAAAGCCCTTTTTGGTACAGGTGTTGCGATTTTAAATATTTAAATATATATATATACGCGCTCTCTCTCTATCTATTATTATTATTATTATTATTATTATTTTGCTACTATCTATCTATCTATCTATCTATCTATCTATCTATCTATCTACTGATCCATATAAACCTGCTACTTTTGCATATGACGGATTTTATTTTAAAATGTTGATGTGCAACATAAATGTTAGATAACAGACAATATACATATATTTTTCATTTTAATTTTTAGGTGGCTTGATTATTACTAATTTAGAACTAACGGGCCTGGGCCAGAAGTTACAACTTCACTTTAGTTGATGTATTGAATACACATATTAAATATAAGCTAGCTGTAGCACCAGCTAGCAATCCGTTATTGCCACAGACAGCAAGCTAATATAGCATAACAGTATCAGTTTAACATAAAGTCAGCTACTTAGCCTTTTATACAGCTAATGATACATTTTTTTGGTTAGTATTATGTTACTGTATTACATGATAAAAGACATAATTTATCAGAAAGCCAACATTAGTAGGAAAAAGGGGCTTAATTTCTTCTAAAGACTGACACTTCCACTTGTGGCAAAAAGCCTAATTATTAATAAAAACAAACAAACATGCAAATACTTCATTTGTACTGTTAGACTACCACAAAAAAAGTAACAAAACAAAACACGTGTAGGATGTTTTCTTTGCCATTTAAAGATCAACAAGGCCACTAACATCCAGAAAAACAGCTGGAATGAAAATGTATAATTTCTAGTGAGTCAGAGGTGAATGATGATGTGGTGGCATCTCATCTGGGCTGCCCAACCTCACCTAACCTTTAAAGTGATAGGGAGTCTATATGGACTTTCTTCTTAACTTTTGCACATAAGGGGATTTTTTTGTAATTGCCGAATAAATAAATACATAAATATCAGACTGCCAAAGCTAGATACAAACAAAGGCTCTGGAAAAATAAATAGAGTTGAATTTGCACTTTTTGCTTCACACAACACTGAAGCGTTTGAGGATTTTCTGTCCGTCCGTTGAAATGGGATCAACGGTGAGGCCGCTCTGCCTTCAAAATAAGACTAAAGTCACTCAACTCGTTTAGATTAAAAACGGCAACAGAAAAACTTAATTTAGCATAAACGTCAGATAAAGACACTTGGATTATATTTAAATTGTAACATTATAAATATATGAAAACTTGGCACGCATAACTTATAATATGCAGCAAAGGAGACTAGAAGAAATAAAAATCCTGTTCGTATTTGATATTAATTTAACAGGAGAAGATTTAGTTGTTTTTTTTTAACTATTTACTTTGATTTGTGGATTAAAAAAAAACAAAAAACAAAACAGAAATGCTAACTATTTGATTTAATGTGAAAGTCACAACAGGAAGTCACGTCTTGTAGTTTGACTAACTGGACGCGGTTGAAGGAGTGGATGGGGGCGAAATATGTGTATTAATACACGGAGTGCAGAGTTTAGGGCTTCAGCTAGACTGTGTTGCCATGTCAGTATGTTCAGTTTGTGTTTGACGGAGGAGAGGTAGCGTTTCCGTGATGGCGCTCACCGCAGCTCAGGCGTTTCCATGATGGCCAACCTGAAAAGTTAAGGAGCAAAAACTTTGAGCAAGCAGTAGGAGTCTTCTCGGAGACTTTCCCTGTTATCTCTAAAACTAACACCACCATGGCATACCCCGCTGCTGTTTCGATTTGGGCGTTTGCTTTCAGTTTATACCTCGGCGTGTGTGAGTGTTACTTTTCTATACCGCTGAAGATATATCCAGGGAAGTACAACTTCTCCTCGGATGTGGATTTGACTCCTCTGCGGCGAGTGGCTCTAACGTCGGATGGAAACGGCCTCTCTCTGGCCTCTGATCCGTCCGGGACAGTCAACTTTCTGGACATGGTTAACAACTTGCAGGGGGACTCTGGAAGAGGCTACTACATAGAAATGTCCATTGGCACTCCTGGGCAAAAGGTACTGTATGTCATACACGTAGTGTGTGTAGCTTTATAACTGCTGTTTTGCTTCATATCTGACTCATCATCAGGTGTTTTCAGAGGGATTGGGCCTAATTTGAACACTTTCCCCAAACCCCCTTCTGTTTTTTTCAATATTTAAAACACATACATTTGTCCACCCCAGTAAAAACAAAAAGCATCAGAACTTTTACTCATTTTGCCTGAATTCTGTGTTTTTCTTTACATGAATAAAGACATTTCCACCACAAATTAATAAAAAAAAAGGCAGAAATTGACTCATAATAAGCATTGAAAAAACTCAACAAAAAGTTAAGGGTTCGATGCTCAACATTTGCCTACCCACATCTTCTCTTAGTGTTTCCCCCCCACCCAAAATATTCAAAATAAAATCCACGCCCATGGATGTTCAGTCCTCAAAGGCAGTTGTGGTTTGTTTGCAGTGTGTGTGAACAGGCGCCCGCCACCCACCTTGGGATCCATTACAGTGTAAAGGTGGGCAGGGTGTGTTTGTTTTAGCCCCAGGGGCTTGGCTGCTATCCATGCAAAATGTAGTATTTGAATGTATTTAAAATACAAACTAGGTTTTGAGTTGACTGGGATCACGAAAGATAAGCATAACATAGAAGATAAACCCCTAAAAACTCATCACTCTGTGTTAAGGTTACATATTAAAAAGCTGTTTCCATCAGAACAAACCCTTCCTGCATTAAAACTTTAACCTCTTCGCCCATTCGTCCCCATTTGCTGCAGCTTAGCACACCAGCTCACCTGCATCTTTGTCAAACCCTGTAAAGCTACTTCACACTACACAATGGCAAGTTGTATATTGGAGTGAGTCAGCCACACATGTTCAAACAGGAAACCGATTCTAAAGAATAAGATTAATACAGAAAGTTCCAACCCTGAAAACCTGAATCATTTTTATTTTGTGTTTACGTCAGCACATTGCAGTTTTGATTTAGAAATGCTTAGCCATGGTGTTGACTGCTTATTTAGCCAATGCCTTTCATCATATAAAGAACACCATACGGGTGTGTTAACAAGAAAACAAACCAAAAAATATTTTTACCAGAAGAGGTCTTTAATATGACTGTCCTTTTTCAAATAAAATCAGATGTTCTTTTAGGCCCGTCTGGGACCATCAATGGAAAGAAAGTATCATAGCTGTGGGGCGCTGCAGCCGTTTTTACAGCCTCAGAGTCTTTAGGTGGACTAACCCGCCCCACACTCACATGCACTCACATGATGCTGCCTGTGAGGACCAGTGTTTCTTACCAGGCAGCTGACAGGGATTACGAGGCTCTCAGGGAGCAAAGAGCAGCCCCAGATTTGTACAAAACAGCACTAGCCCTGCTCCAGGCATATCCGTTATTTTCTTTTGGTTGCATGGAAATATGCCTGCCAGTGTAATTTATTGCCAGCATTTTATACTGCTTTTTATGTAAAGTGCCTAACAAGATCATATTAATGATTAAGGAGGTCTAAATTAGGATGAGTTGGATGAGGGATTCTCCCGTCACTATTAAAAATACATGAGGCTTTAAGGGCAGCGATGATTCGCCTTTGTGTTGTAAGTAGATGTGTTTGAAATGGAGCTTAAAGCAAAGGTGAATTATCTCATTAGTAAGCTGACCTGTTGGCCCTGGGCTTCTCAAGTTAAACAGATCAGAGCTTTTAAGACTCCTGTGTAGCACAGCTTGGTTTCTCAGGCTCATAGAGGCTTATCAGTGCTTCCTGCCATGTCACTGCCCTGTGTCAACCTCTGATAGGATAACGTGGAAGCACTTGTCACTCCACACACTTTACCATGAGTCAAAAGTTGTACTTTGGGAAAATATGCTTTACATCTTCTATTCTAATGGAACATCACAGCGTTGCTCAAAGGAGGAAATTCCCAATATTTAATGTTTGTTTAGACCAGAATTTATTTCGAGCAGTGTTTTATTCCTGCAGATCCTCTTCAGGCTGTATTTAGAGCAAGTGTTGCACTACACTAAGCACAGGTGTGATTCTTAATTTACTGCTTGCATGTACAATAACGACAACAGATTTACTGTATTATCTTTCATGATTATTTCTTAGCAAATACAATGATTCAGAATTATTACTTATCTTAAAAAATCCAGTGTTGTATCTTAAAGGAAGAAACTCAAATAGTTACCATCATATGTAGTTCATCATATATAGTTCAGTATCCAGTTCTGTTCTCAAATCACCACAATTCAAAGATTTTCAGTTTACTGGCATAGAGGAGTACGCCTAATTTAGAAAGATTTTTTTCCTACTAAGTACTCAAACTGATTAAACCATCATCAAAATTGTTGCCGATTATTTCAATTGCTGACAATAATTTACTACATACCCCTCTTTAGTGGAAAGAAAAACTTTTTTTTTTTTATGCTACAAGACAGCGCGCAAAATAAGCAGTCAGTGCCACGATTGGACATTTCCACCTTAAAACTACAGTGTAATTATGACAGTCTCGAAAACACCTAGACTTAAGGGTTTCTTAGGTAACAAACCAAGGGTACTAATCCCTTCAGCTGGCAGGATTTAGCAATCTGCATCATCTTTCTTCTTTATAATCTGTTTCTAGTTGCAACACAAATGGCTAAATTACTCTTGCAACTTGCAACTGTGTTTGGCAAAAAAAAAAGGTTTTATAGTGGTTGAGCAGAGCCACAGGTGAGCTGGTATGCTGGAGCTGTAGTGAGTGAGGCGGAGTGGGTGGAGAGAAAGGTGAAGCTGCACATTGGAAAGGAGGTTGTGTAGTTGCATCTGAGCAATTTGAAGGCAGGAAAGGATTCTTTTCATGGAAAACATAAATAATTATATCTGAAAAATTACTTTATTGAATAATTGTTGCAATTGTAGTTTAGAAACAGTTGGTGCTTGAGTTGTTTCCCAATGAATTCCTCTATTTTAGGTGTTGTATGTGTCATTTAAACAATCAGCCTCTGTGCATAACTACTAATCATTGGTAAACTGTGATTAAAAAAATCGCAGTGGGAACTAACAATAATGATGGATCAGTTTCATTCAGTGTCCTGGCGAGCCATTCTAGTAAGCCAGCATGCACACTACCAGGGCCTTGACACCAGCACACCTGAGTGGACGCCAATCGCCCTGGTGTCCTGCAATGTCAAAATGATAGCTGTTGAAAAAGATCTGTTTGGGACCCGTGTCATGTGACTAGCTCTCTACACAGCCTGATGAAACTCAAGAGGAAGTGAACAACTCATGTGAAGGACTCATTTCATAAATAAATATCACCATTTAGTCTTTGGAGCTAAATATTTTGCAGTGTATGTTTATATCAGTTATGTGTGGTATCGGAATGTGCCATTTACTGGATGTCTTGTCTGTGAATACTGGAGATGTGAGATATTCCTTCTCTGATATCCCTGCTGTTACACTCCTCTATTTTCTGTGCATAATTACAGTGAAACCTTTACATCAGTTATTCATGCCAGCAGAGCTCAATCCACTTTGGTTCAGATTGGTTATGCGATGCCAAAATGTCCTGTAACTCAATACTATTGAGTTATACTCTCAATATTATTCTAACTAAATGATGATGTGATTACAGGGCCGTGGTGTTAAATGAGGCACTATTCAAATCAGCCGCTAATTGCCGCATCTGTTAGCATGTGGCACAGCCAGGCTGAGGTGTCGGCTGGAGAGCCTCACATCTGCTAATTGGTACAAACAGGTAGCAGATGCGCGTTGCCGCCATGGAGCCATTGCCAATTAGACGGTGAATGCTCAACTGCAGGCTGTCGCAGCAGGGGTAGAGTTTTGCCTGAGGCTCAGGAGCTGAGCTATGGGAGGATCGTGTGACTAGAAAAAGATAGGTTTGGTGTAGGTTTAAGGAAATGCCCCAGCTCTCCCTCCCTAGCCCTCTTCTTCACCACAAGGTTCCAGTATATTTCCAGTCTGGCCTGTTTGGCTGGTTCAGGCCTTGTGTGAGTGGAATGATGCCATCTGCAAGGTGGCAGAGGGGTTTTAGATGGCACAGTAACGGTGATGGGACGAGAGCCAGCCCAATGAGGAGGAACCGATAAGCCTGACTCCCACAGACGGGCCAACTGGGGCTTCCTGTGGCTGCCTGAACCAGTCATTAACACGTTTACAGAATTGCCCCATAATGACTTCATGCACACCTGAGCATGACAGTGGGATTTTGGCTACAAGGAAATATTTTTTAAACTTGTTTTCCGAGCACATAGCGCAGTGGAATACTAAACAAGCCTCAAGTTATGATTGGCCAATAGGACTTGATAAACAAAGCATGCGGAAGTAAATTTTTTTCTTGTGTTTGTAATGCCTGGTGGAATAAGTGAGCCATTTTCAGGCTGTTCTGGTCTGTACAAAGCAAAGACAACCACAGAGGAGTGATGACAGAACATTTTTGCAGTTAGTATTTGCAGCTGAGCATGCTTAATTAACACTTAATATTTTCCTAAAGTGTCATGTGACATCATTGACGAGCCACTGTATGGACATCTTTGTCGTGGAGCCATCAGGCGGTCGTGGGGCATTAGTTTTATGACCTCGTCATGGTGAGGAATGCTTTCTAGTTGGTGCTCATGTGGCCACTGCTCAGTCGCGGAGGTGACAGAAGTCTGCAGGCTAATTAGTTCCTGCTCGTTGACTTGATGCCTGGAAGACAACATTATCTGAACTGCTGTTAGCTGGTCCCCACTGTTCACATGACACATACCGGAACGGCTGGATAGGTCATACAGTTATGTCAGTACCTCGAGGCTATCATGTTTGACGCATAGATCGCACATTAGAGGGTAATTATGTCAAGGGTGTATATCCATTTTTTAGAAGACAGTGCTACCAAAATACATTGTTAATTTCCACTCCTGCGCAGTACCAAAATGTTGTTTACATGTGATATTATGAAAGTGACGTCTTTTTTTATGAACAAAAGTGTAGTGGTTCTTTCAGTTTTCCAGTTAATTATTCATTGCAGCACAAATTTTAGCTGCTTGTTTATAATATAAACACATGCTTAATTGTTGGTTTATGACAGTCTAATGTGGATCTTTCATAAGGGCATGGAACACCCTCAGCAAAAACAAAGACTTTCCTGTGTGGTTGTTTTTTCTCTCCACTTCCTTTGCAGTGTTTCCAAATGAATTCTTCTGTTGTTTAACTTTTTCATTCCCTTCTAAAAACACTGTTAGGAATTTTCTTGTTCCTATCACTCTCTTTTCTTTTCTTTTCTTTTCTAATCAAACTTGCAAGCCTGCTTTAATGGCTTTGTTTCCTTTTAAAGCTTAGAGTCTTCTTATCAATGTATCCCTCTGTGCCCTCCTGTCATTTTCCGCCATGTGACTCAGGAGGAGCTATGTAAGTTTGATTGGATAAAGATAACTGTTGCAGTTGTTAAAGCAACTCTGCCTCTTTTTTTCAGCTGAACATCCTGGTGGATACAGGCAGCAGTAACTTTGCCGTAGCTGCAGCTCCACACCCATTCATTACTCACTACTTCAACACTGCGCTGTGAGTGGCTGCAACACTTAATGCACAAACTCTTCAAAATGTCATGGAAATATTCAGTTTTATTTTAGCTTATCAGCTCTTTATCACCCACAGTGTGTCATGGCTAAAGTAGAATTTATCAATGATACGCATCAGAGATTGTAGATTTCTCACAGAAATAATGAATTTGCCTTGTATTTTATTACTCACAATTGAGTTATGTAATTTTTGTTCTATAATTGATTTACAGGCTTTTGTTTTATGTTTTCCCACTGTAGTCGTAGTGGTAATTTAATACTAATAATTATGCTTTTTATCTGCTCACTACAGGCCTTTGTAACTACTCACCCGCCTCATCTTCTTCCCTTGTGTTTAGTTCCAGTACCTATCAGTCACATGGTCGCACAGTAGCTGTCCGGTACACCCAGGGCAACTGGGAGGGTCAACTGGGCATCGACCACGTCTCCATCCCAAAGGGCCCAAATGGGACCGTCACCATCAACATCGCTGCTATCCTGTCATCTAATGGCTTCTTCCTTCCTGGGATCAACTGGCAGGGAATCCTTGGGCTGGCCTATCCTATGTTGGCACGAGTAAGAGAGATGCTCTTAAAGTTTAAGGCTTAAATCTTAGCTTAAACTCCTCTTTCACTGATTTCTACTCCTAGCCCAGTATAACATTAACCAAACAAGGAAAAACACATTGGAATGTTTTCTTATTTTGGGCTATGCTTTACATGGAATTTTATTTTGTTTGAATTCTATTTTAGTGATGATGAATAGCTGGTAAAATTCAGTTAAAAAAAAATCCAAAGGACTATATTTTTATAGAGCTAATATTGCCCCGTCATAGATAAATCGGTTTTGGTGAATACATTTCTCTAACATTAATAAGCAATTACACCATCATTTTGGCTTTTCAATATATCTCTCACATGCAATGAAATAATACATATACGTCAAGACTATTTTACTCATTAAAATATTTTTTTTGCATCATCGGGCTCTAGGCTTTTTTTTATAGCTGAAATGTAATCATCTGTCTAGCCCTGATTTTTGTGACTTGTGGAGCTGAATTTGTCAATAAATGCATGAACATTATCCAAGTCCAGTTTCAAAAACGTTCAAAAACATTTGAATTCGCTGTTAAAGAATTGTGTGAATGAAAATTGAAGAAGGAAGCAAAACTTCAGTAGAAAATGGGGGCGCACAAGGAAGACAAACTGAATGCTCACTTGATAACATCGTTTATCAAAGAAATTCATCAGTACTGCATAACTTCCTACTGCCCACAACTCCTTTACAGCACTGACTAACTTCTGAGATCTTATCTGAATGTAGTCATGGACATTTCACATGATAACAAAGAGGTTTTGTGTGCAGATTTATTTTCAGTAGCAAAGGGTGTGATGCTTTTGTGTCAGGATGTTTTTTTTTCTTTTTTTTTGTTAAGCCAACTTTAGTTGTTCCAATTAGTCCTGTTTTAGTTTGAACTCTTATTTTGTCCATTCTGATATTTAATCTTTTTAACGTAAACTTGACCGAGTTAATCGATTTCCATCTTGAGGAGATGCAGAGGGACATCCTGTGTATGTATGAAATGTGACAGAGGCTCAAATTCAAGAGGCTTCACTCAGTGTCAGCGTCCTTTAATGTGATAATTTAACACTGACGGGACAAGATTGACGTCAGCGCAAAACCTGAACAACTCATCCTTTCATCCTGTGCTGACTGCAGCAACCTTTAGGATCAAATGCCAGCGATTGAGGGGCAGATATGCTCACACTGACCACTTTGTGCTGCTTGTGTCTCCAGAGTGCTCAGGTTCAGCTTGCCCTAGGGCTGTTTTGTCATGCATGACATGATAGCACAGCACTGACATGAAGAGCTATCTGAGGAAAACAGGAGAGAAGAGCCTTTAGTCAAGGAGTAGAACACTATTTCATACTCATGCACACCAGTCCACAAATATAAGAATCTTTAAAGAGCTATATTTCTGTTTGAACATGCGTAAAATGTGTTTCTGTTGCAAAATATGTAAAAATACCAAGTACACTGTCTAAACGTTCATCAGTCTGCCAATAGGTAACTTTGCATATTTCTCATGTTTAAAGTGTAATGTCAAGCAGCACTATCAGGCAGATTATAATTTAAGTATTTCAGCATATGCAAATACCTCCTAAGGAAAAGACCTTCCTACAATATTACCGACTGGTCATATTCCTACATTTTTTTTTCCTCTTGATCTCCTGCCCTTGGGGTTAATGCAGATAAAAGTGCATCTGGATAACCATTCAACTAAAAGCTCAAAATGCAAACTTAGAAGCTTAAATCGATTATCTTGAGTTAATCATTATGCCTCTCCTGTCCCTCAACCAGCCTGACTCATCCGTGGAGCCCTTCTTCAACTCTGTGGTGCAGCAGCTGGGAATTCCTGACGTCTTCTCCCTCCAGATGTGCGGTGCTGGACTGTCAGCCAGCGGCGCAGCCGACCCTGCGGGCGGCAGTCTTGTAAGTAGTCAGGAGGGGGAAGGCTGCGGGTGCGGGCTGCAAATTTGATGGACATTTCTTGCATTTTATACGGTCTCTGCATGTAATTCTGTATTCTTGCAATAGTTTGTATCTTAAGTGTTTTCATCGCTGAAATGCAGCTGAGCAATCTTCTGCTCAGACTAAATAAAATCACTCGTGGATCAGACAGAGTGCATTTTAGGGACATAATAGCTGCTATCCTCCTTGTTAATGTGTCTCCCCTTTGGAAGCCCAGTCTAGCTGGAGAAGAGCTAATTAAGCTAAGATAGCATCCTGCTGAGAGCAAGTCTGTCACTGTTATACATGCGACCTTGGTGCCTCACTCGCTGCATCTTCATCATGTGAGCCACTGATGCAGACAGATGGATAAGATGGCGGGGTGCTTGTGTCTGTATGTGTGTTTATTGACTGCGGTCTGCCAGAATGTGAGCAGAAGGATAAACATTTGCTAAAGTGTACTCTTGTTGGATATTTTATGCATCACACTTGACCCAAATGTTTTTTTTTATTCTCTTCTTAGGTAATGGGTGGGGCTGAACCAATTCTGTATCGGGGGTCCTTGTGGTACACCCCTATAATAGAGGAGTGGTACTACCAAGTGGAGGTTTTGAAACTGGAGGTGGGAGACCAGAATCTGAATCTGGACTGCAGAGAGGTAAACTTCAAACACTGTGTTGCTTCTGTGATTGTCTAAACGTCACTCTACACTCGAAAATGGCCTTTACATGCCAATAAAACACTATCTTTGATTTCAAAATAGACACATAACACTGGTTGTGCAGAGGAAACAGTTAATGCTCATTCTTAAATGAGATGCTTGTGTCAGGTTTAAAACACAGAAATGTAACACAATCTGAGTAGCAGTGTAGCAATGGAAAGTAAACCAGTTTGTCTGCTTGAGAAAGAACTTCCTCATTATATATTCTTTTGTTTACTCAAGGTCTTCTATAGGAGCCTGTTGAACTAAGGAAACCCTACTGCACTTCACTCTTTCTCGCTTTCTTTCAGTATAACATGGATAAAGCTATAGTTGACAGTGGGACGACACTGCTGCGACTCCCCGTCAACGTCTTCAATGCGGTGGTAGAAGCCATCACACGCAGCTCTCTGGTACACTGCCTTCTCTCCACAGACAATGATGAAACATGTTGTCAGGGCAAAGAGATGCACACACTCACTGTTCAAGGACGTAGTAGCTTTAAGTAGAAGGATCGGGAGTTTATTTGCTACAAAAAAAAAGGAAAAAGAAAAAAAAAGCTCAATGCCTTTTGCTTATTTACCATTCTGCTTTACGCATTTTTCACCATTTGGAAGCGCACACAAACCATTCTCAAGGTTAATTTGAACGTTTTCAATTAATATGCCCACATCGTTGTGGATGAATCCTAAGAAGGAAAAATGAAAGAGATCATGAAAACCTGTTTTGGTGCTGTACTGACCTCCGGTTTCTGTCTGTTTATCTTTCGCCTTGCCTGTCTTCCTCTGTCTCTCTTTGTCTATTTCTCTGTCTTTTTTCTCTTTGATTCAGATCCAGGATTTCTCTTCAGGCTTCTGGGATGGCAGCAAGCTTGCATGCTGGATGAAGGGAGAGACCCCGTGGAGGTTTTTCCCCAAGCTGTCCATCTACCTAAGGGCGACGAACACCAGCCAGTCCTTCCGCATCACCATCCTGCCTCAGGTACCTCAGCACATAGACACAAAGACAAGTCATTCTTACTCTGAAGTTTCTCCATCAACCTAAGATACACTCGTCGTTCCTCATTTCTGTTCGTCTTGCAGCTTTACATCCAGCCAATCACAGACGTGGACGGCACGCTGGACTGCTTTCGTTTCGGAGTGTCTTCGTCAGCTAATGGCCTGGTGATTGGTGCGACTGTAATGGAAGGCTTCTACGTGGTGTTTGACCGTGCTCAGCGAAGGCTGGGCTTCGCACTAAGCACCTGTGCAGGTGAAGTCATAAACAGGATGTGGTGTGCTGATAACTCCCTAACAATGGGAAAAGTCTGTCTGCTTGCATGTAAATATTACTAAGACTATTATAAATATTATACCAGGCCTCTGACTTCAGTCAGTGGATTATAACTGTATTCACTGAAATGTAAAATGTTTGTTACTTTTGTGGTAATTTAATTTCCACGGCTCAATATACTTTAATTGTGCATGACTATAAAGTTCTGAGTTTGATTATTCACAAAAAAGAAGACTGTCTGCACAGGCTAAGAGCTCTGTTCATACTCCGTCATCATCTTATCTTAGAAAATCATCACAACACTCCACATCATCGCTCAAAATCCCTGTCAAATGTCTATGTTAGTAAAAACCACGTACAGTAAGGCCAGGCTCACACTATGGGAGTTTTAAATCCACAGAAAAAAAATGATTTGGGTTGCATCACACACATAAGGGAATCTCTATAAATATTTTCTCAGACAATAAAACTTTTTAAAAATAGTGCCACATTGCACACGACAGGATATAATAAAGACTGACATGGCATAGGGACCAATCAGGGAGCAGCGCGCCACCTCATGTGACCTCACAGGGAAACAGATGAAAACAAAACAGACATCAACTTACTGTAAAGGCTAATAATACTTTGCAGTGAGAGAAAAAAAAAAACAGCAGAAGGCTCGACTAGTATGGATGGGAAAGTGGTGTAAAGATATGGTCGACATGGTTAGTCTATTCTTTAGAAAGAACTCTAAGTTATATTTATATCCAGAAAACCTGTTGCTAATGTTAACCTCTAGGGCTAGAATGCTTACATTGCTTAGTTACAGTGATAATCATAACCATCCAGATTTTCACTGCTAAATATAAAACATGTCTGATATTAATCAAGCAGTTACCAGATAATCTGAGCTGAACATCGGTTCAGACCGAGTTCCCAAAACAGATTTCTCGTCTGACTGTTGGGTTGAATCAGCCTGAATCTCCTGTAGCTTGAGCCCAGCCTAAGTATAAAGTAGCAATAAACACACTGACAGTATTCTCCAACTGCTACAAAAGTTTTACCTTCTATTTATCTAGTTACAAGGTGCCCGTGTAAATAATCAAACATGCAGATGAAATATGGATCATATGTAGAGCGCCAAAAAATAAGCTTTTACGACTGGGCTGTAGGGGGAATTTTTAATGTAGTTTCAGATGCTGAGGGAATAAGCAAAATGTCAGCAAATGACATTCTTCTATAGCAGATGATACTGAGGATACTGTGATTTAAAATAGGAAGGAAACTTAAATTCCACAAGTCAATAAAGTGTCTTTAATTTATAACTTACTGACAAGCAAACTGTTAAGTGACATGCACGATTTAATAGCACTCCCAGGTTCACTGACCAAAAATATAATACGATATCCTGCTCTCCATAACCTAAATGGCAACGGTTAAAACCTCAACAGACGGACTTCCTTGTAGGTCTGTGTAAACATGGTTGGGCAAGGCTTTCCACTTTCTTCTTAAGTACAAAGATCACTTTTGTTGCGCATGAACCAAACACACTTGGAGCGGATAGGCTAGGTTTCAGGCTTGTGACAGCTGGTTTTGCAGCTGTACTTCCTGAGCTGGCTGGTAAAATCCAGACATAAATTCTGCTGCTGATGATCATGTGGATAAAACAACTAATTTTAGTTTCAATGAAGTACTTCACTCCACGTCTAAATAAGTTGTTAGAGATTCTGCCATATGTAAAAGTAAACCTTTCCCATTTTACGTGTATATATTATTACCAAAACTCTCTCGCTGCACTTGTCTTTGCAACTTTTCTTTTCCAGAAGCTCATAGGTTTACTGTTTATATTCAGCAGCTGCTAACTTTAATTGCTAACTTCTGTAATAAAAAAGTAAGTAGGAACATATTCCAGATATAGTTACTTTAGCTTTTCATGAGGGTTGAGTGAATACAACTAATTTAATGCTATGTTTTAAATCCCCTGAACTGCTTCAGTCACATTTTTGCTCACCGTGAGCTCATTTTTACTGCAATATAAAGTCCTGCACCTCTACAGAAACAGCACAACCTAGAAGTAAAGACAATTTAAAAAGTGTCTTCTGTGCAGTACAATTCCATTAACATAAATGTAAAGAAACTTGGGATCAACATGTAAAACATTTTTGTTGTGCCCATCTGTGTTATCAACACTTGAGAAAAAATGGGTGACTACATACTGTAAATGTTTAACTACTTATATTATTAATTTGTTTCCATACTTGTCTCCTAGCTACTCTGTGTAAACGCAGCTTGAAGTTAAGCCGAAAAGCCCCTGAATTCTTGTGTGTGCGTTGCAGATGAGTCACTGATGGCTTTGTGAATATACCAACGAGCGCAAACCTTTTTGTTTTTTACAGAATGTGGTTGCTGCAAATGGTTTGTTTGCTATTTATATAAATTTTTAAATGAGACATGTAGAATTAAGTGATTTTGATGCAACATCATAATGTTAGGCTTAGATTTGGTTCAGTTTTCCAACAGAATGGTACTTTACACATAATTAGTTCAAAGACTAAAAGAAAGTTGAAAATCCATCCATCCATCCATCCATCCATCCATCCATCCAGGGGATCTTCTAGCTGCGAGGCAATGGTTCTAAGCACCGAGCCACCTTTCAGCCCAAGTTGAAAATCCAACAATTCATTTGTTTTAATAAACTTTCTAGCTTTGATAAATGCTGTTGTTTTGCAGTTTTTTAAATATTTTTACAAACCTTTTAAACCCGCCGACAGGTTTTAGGGTTCAGAGAGTTAAGGTTCATGAAGTTTATTTTGCCATTTATATGACCTATTACTGTGATCACATGCGATGGAGCCAGTCAGAACTGTCTGTCTTGTATTTCTGTGCAGTGAGTGGTGGAGTCACTCTGTCGGAGATCGCGGGACCCTTCTCAGCAGCAGATGTGGCGGCTGACTGCTCCGCCGGCATACTGAAGGAGCCTCTTCTGTGGGTGATCTCCTACACCTTGATGGCAGTGTGCGGCCTGGTCCTCATCGTCCTGTTGCTGCTGCTCGTCCTGCCCTGCAGACGCAGAGATCGCTCCGGAGAGATCACAGACGAGTCCTCGCTGGTCCGTCACCGTATCAAGTGACTGAGAGGAAAAGGACGGGCGAACGCGGTGAACGGGCAGGGGGACAGCGAGCGGAGCCCGTCCACAACTGTGGAGAGGGAGGCGAAGGTCGACATGCACCGACCAGTGACACTCGGCTCTGAATGTCTGACTGACTTTAGACTGCACTCATCAGCTTGGCCCACGGAGGTAGACCCACAGACAGATCAACTGCCTCTTAAAGGGAATATCCACCCCCAAAACACTTCCTAAAACAGCTGATGGTGGTGAAATTATGGTTCCAGTTACTTTTGGTGGTATATCTTTCCTATTCTCACTGATAATTTGTCAAGTCTCTGCTTTAATATAGAGAAAGACATCCATCATAGAAGAACAGGTGCAATTTATTCGCTCACCATAGCTTTTAAAGATCATAATGCCTTGAAGCCTTTTAGTGATGGCTATGATTTGCTTTAACTCAACTGAAGAGACACATGTGCTGACAGTATTGCCCTTCCTGCCTACATGCACTGTAACAGGGAGTAGTTTGTGGAAGCACTCAAATCAAGTTTAGCCTTTTTCTCTTTAGGGCTGGTGAAAGGTATTTTGGGAAATGTAGGACATCACTAACACAAGAGAATGAACCAAACTATGAAACAATGATTATTATAAGGATAGCTAACTGTGGCGAGTTAAGGACATACGTAGCAACTGCACATCCCTGATCTCCAAGCAAACTGAGTTTTATAAATATCAAAGGGGATACAACCTCATAAAAGGTACCTTTACAGTTTGTAATCTGCAACCAACAAATCTTTCACATAGCTTTTTCTAATTCAGCTCTGTGATCAGTTCACAGCGCCTTCTTATATTCTGCAGTGACTGTAACTTTGAGTCTTCTGTAGGGTCAAATTATTGCCTGTGTATATTGAAGTTGAGGGGAGAAGCTGCTCAAGTAACCACTTTTAATAGTTATACACATGTTTACAGTGCCTGTAGTGCCTTTCAGTCTCAGCTCACTGCTAACACAAACTGATTCACAGTATCAGCAGTTTGAGACGTACTCTGCTGAAATGCACTTTGTTTCTGAAGTTGATCAAAATTGTAATGTAAAGCGACGGATCAATATTTCTCAATCTCTTATGCAATTTGTAGTATTAATGTAATTTATCTAATTTTGCATACATGCAGCTTTATAATTGAATCTTTCTGAATGTGATTGTATTATTATTCCAAATCTTTGCTTTTTAGACTAGATGTTCAAAAATATTTATACGGCACATTTTACACAAATCAAACACTAAAATTACAAGCCAAAGGATTTCTGAAACTGACACACTGGACATACTTTCTAGGTATCTCTAGACTACAGTTCACTTTGTGGGGAAGCTGATTGATCTGGTAGCAATAATAATAATAATAATAAATGTTATTAAAGGTCATTTTGTAGGCTCTTCACACGAGGGACAGTTTGTTAAAGTCAGCTATACACTACACAAAATGAGCTGCTCTACTGAATCTGTTCAGCACAATCAGTCTGAAAGTTTGTTGATTTTGGCGAGAACATCAGTCTTGACCCAAGCTGTCTACATGTCACTGTCCGCCAAAATTTAAAGTTGTAAAATTGTTTAATGGAAGGTACACTTGAATCCTTGAATGCTCACTTATTTATGGGTGTGTTTGTCTGTGCCAAAACTGTACTTGTGCTGTAAATAAAAGAACTTGTGACAAATCAAAGACGTGAATCATTTTAAATGAATAAATATTTTGGGAGTCAGCTCGACAAACTTGGTGTGGTTTGTGAGCGACATCTTGTGTTGACAAATGGTATCCTCGTTTAATGGCTCAAACATTACTCTTAATTACATGAAATCATGTAATTAATTATGTATCAAATCATTTACAGACAGGTAACAACTCCAGGAAAAGCCAATATAAACTGACTTGGTAAGGTGTTGGAGCCACCATGTGCTGCCAGGACAGCTTCAGTGCAAGTTTCTGGAGGGATGAACACCATTCTTTTTAAAAGTTATTCCCAGATTTGATGTTTTGATGATAATGTTGGTGAGCACTGTCTAACACATTGGTCCAGGTTACTCATTTTATTATAGGAAAATAGAATTTAGGCTTATCACCTTGAATCTAACAGTGCTGCTGCTAGTTTGCAATTAACAGTCACATAAATTAAAAAAAAATAAAACAAAGCAGTAATGCTTGTAGAAAATAACAGTGACAAACAAACATAATGTAAACACAACAATTCTAAGATCAATGAAGTCTACTACTTATCTGTCTGCAGTGTACAGATATCCATTATTATATCATTGGGACGATGATAAAAGGTATACGCATAACTCCTGTATGTCAGATTGATCATTTGTGGTCCTTTAATCAGTCATCTTGATGCTTCTGCAAACAGAAAAATGAGCACAATTTGTATTTGTTCTATGGGGTGAATGTTTTTTTTGTGTTTTTAAACATTGTTCTTCATGTAAATTGCAATAAAAAATTAACAGTAAATCATTTAAATATGAAAAACTAAAAATTACTACGAACAACAATTATTTTGTGATTATAAAATAAAACCTAGAAAAAATATTGTGCGAAATACAAACTGTCTGTCAATCAGCTGACAGATTAATTGCTTCCTTCAGCACAGGATAATCATTTTATTTTAGTGTCTTCTGAACAAAGAATGAAACCAGGCCCAACTTTGTACGTTTCTTTGGACCATCAAGGCAAAGGAGGCTGAAGACGAATTAAACATAATGTCAAAGCATGGACGACCCTTTTGACTTGTCAGATAGTTGAATAAATAAGATTAATCACACAGAACACTATTAAAATACCAAGATGCCACTGTGATTCAAACACAAAGTATGTATTCGTACATCCAACCTCAGTCAAGCTCTGCTGCTTAGAGCACCACATGGATAAACCTTCTTATTACAACTGGGCCTCCAAGAAGATTAAATCAAGCTCTACGGGTTATTTGTAAATACAGTGCATGAAACTGAATTTGGTTTTCTAAAAATACACTTTTGTGAAGTCTAAGTATTAATGCTCTGCTAAAAATCTTGTGCGAGTTGTATGTGAATTATACCTCTGCTCATTTTTACCTTCATCTGACGGTAGATCCAGTCCAGGTACAATGTGATGTTGCCATAAACACCTGGTTTACTCTGCCCAGCGCAGTGTTCTCCCCAAATACTGTCACCTACGAGCCACCACAGTCCATGTCTTAGGGTCACCAGAGGACCGCCAGTGTCAGCCTGAAACAGAGGTCAGGAGGAACTGATTAAAGAGTGGTACAGGTTGCAGCAGATGCAAACTCATGATCAAAGGCTTTACTGTGATTTAGAGGTGCAATATAAAGACTCAAAACATTCAGGTTAGGATGCATTCAAAGTCCTTTGGGGGTTTCCAAAGTCCACGAGAAGCACTGAATGCTTTAAATTAAACATGATATCATAGTCAGCAGCCTCCTCTGTGCTACAACTGTACCTTCATTGTGGACACGACTGTGTAAATGGTTTGTAATAAATGACAAAATGGAGCAGTTTATTTGAAGCCGTTGCCATGCACAGAACACAGTGCAGGTCTTGTGTGATGCTGCTGCAAAAGTAAGTTACATAAGAGCAAGAAAATGCTTTGAATTCTTTCATGAGCAGAAACTGTCTTCAGGCCTCTGATCTGTTTGAGCTAGAGAGACTGCGAACGCTCATTTATGTGAGCACATTGTTCTACAGCAGGGGTGTCGAACTCTGGTCCTCGAGGGCCGCAATCCTGAATGTTTTAGATGTTTCTCTCTTCCAACACACCTGATTCAAATGATCAGCTCATCATCAAGCTCTGCAGAAGCCTGATAACAACCCTGATCATTTGAATCAGGTGTGTTGGAAGAAAGAAACATCTAAAACATGCAGGATTGCGGCCCTCGAGGACCAGGATTCGACAGCTCTGTTCTACAGGATCTGTATTTATAAAACGTATGTACAACTCATTCTGAAAGTCAGTAACCCTGAAGGCAGAGGAGCAGTGAGGTCGGAGTCACACTGTACATGTCAGGTGTTCAGATATATGTGAGTGTGTGTTATCTAACTGTGGATTACAACATCCTTTTATGTGTAGATTTTGGTATTCAAACATATATTTTACATAATTTTTGTCTTACACGGCACATTCTGGCTCCTGCCTCCGTCTCTCTGGCACAGAACATGTCTTTTGATATCTTGCCATTGTAAGCGATGGAGCTGTTGCACTCTGCAGTATCTACGAGGGAAACCTGAGCCTCCATCAGCTGTACAGAGCCAGAATCTGTCAGAGAGATACAACAGATACAACTCAGACCTTCACCTCTGCAAACTGACATCTCTTCAATGCAATGTTTAGTACATTCGGTAACAGGCAACTCACAAACAGCCACAGAGTTAAAGTCAAGCAGTGCAGAACGTTGGCGCCGCCCAGAGGTAGCATTAAAAAAGGGGCATTCAATGGGTTTTCATTTACTTCATAATAACTACTAACTAGAAAAGCACTGGAAGAGCGCAGACCTCCACCAAGCAGCTCATTTCCACCATATTGTGATTTCCAGCCAATGTTAAAGTCCTGCATTCATTTTATCTACACTATTAGATTCATGGATAATCAAAACATACCTTCAGCATTTGAATTAACGTTGATGTCATTAATAACAAGCTGACAGAGTGACGAACAGTCGATCTGTACTGCACAATATTTTGTACACTTACGTTATTTCTGCAGTTACTTACTGGCTTTTAAGCTGTTAGCTAACGCTATGCTAGGTTGGCATAACTACAGCGATGCTATTGCTAACAAGGGACTGGGAGTAACTTAAGCTAGGTTAGCACAACTTTAGCAATGCAACGTAAATGAAAAGCATGACCGACACAACGAAGCACGCGTCACTCGTCATGGCAAAGAGAGTTAAAGTGAAACAGGAGACATGTTGAGTCATTGTTAATGTCACAATGTCGTTCTGAACTTATCTGTCAGTAGCTCCACTCAGCCCACTCCTGTAATGTAGCCTGGCTGTAGCTTCCTCATGTACTACTGAGAAGACAGCGGTGAGGACTGAATGGAGTCAGAGCTCCACCAAGTGGACAAACGGCGCAACGACAGCATAATGCACGACTCCGCCACTTAACAGCATTTATTGTTTTATGAGAAAATAAGCAGATGGTAAGCCAGAACACCACCAAAATGTAATCATCTGTTCATTGTGACATTATCAACATTTCCTGAAAATTTCCTGAAAATCCATTCATAACTTTTCGACTTATCTTGCTAACAAACAAACAAACAGACAGACACACAAAGAGACAAACACCGGCTAAAATATAACCTCCTTGATGGAGGTAATAAACTACAGAAACCAAAAAATGTCATCAGTTTAGCGACAAATCAATTATTAGTAATTCACGCGTATGCGCAATAGCCATGTCACATTGAACAGTAATGCGGAATGTCTCTATGAAAAGCATTTAATATATCAAGATAAAATTTCACATACAAATTAAAATATCTAGAATTTATGATGAAAAAGTTTAAAGACAATCAGACATGGCCGAGCAAAAGGGCCCTGATGATTTGAGACGGAATGATGCATGTCTGTGCCGAATCAATTAAAATGATTCAAGATTAATTAATGTCACAGATTTAAGCTAAAACTAAGAAAGCAGTAACAACAAAGTGTGATGTGAAAAAGCCTGCATATGTTGCGTGCTTCAAGTGTGGAGTGTGGATGAGGGTGTGTTGAATGTAAGCTTCTATCTGCTTTGTGTTTGTTAAACAACATGGCCCATGCTAACAAGAGTAGGCTACAAAGAGAAAGATACGACTAAAAACTGTTTGTGAGCTGGTTGACAGAGAAATAAATGGACCTCGATAGAGAGTTAAAAATCATGAGCCACCATCTACTCTGTCTTTGTAGAGGCAGAACAATAAGTGGACATTCTGTTAACCTGAAGTTGAGGATGTGAATTCACCTTTAGTAGGATACAGGAGATTTATCTGGTTTTAAAAGTGAGTTTAGAAATTTTAGAAAAAAGAATATTTATCACAATATAATATGTGTACCGAATAAATATAAATGTCATGGTTATCATCTATTCCGATATATCATGCCAACCCTCATTTCATATTTTATTTCCAGGTATCATGTAATAATCATGTCTTGTGCTTGTCCACATTTACCAAACTTTATCTCACCTCCATTTCTGCTGCGATTAAATCGTGTTATCCAGTAGTTCTGAGGAACTGTGACGTTCAGACCAACATTTGGCAGGCACACAGGTTCGATGTTACTGGAAGCTAGAAAAGAGAACATGTTGGTTGTTATAAACCCAAAGAAAAGACAAACTGATGACACGAAAATGGCTCCAGTGTGTTGAGTCTTACGGCCTTTGTCCCTTGTGAACACAGATGTATATATTTCAGATTCACACAGAATAAGAGATATACACCCAGGTGACAGTTTATAAGATAGGTTAAAAATGAATCAGTCCTATAGAAATATCTTTTGCTATATAATGCTAAAATACAACTAGAATAGAAAAAACAAGATGTAATACTGGTTATGATGCTATAAATAATAATAATAATAATAATAATAATAATAATAATAATAATAATAATAATATATAAATTAAGGTATACTTCAAAGCCACGTGTTCCTACAAAATGTTTTACCTTTCAGTGTTTTGTCTATCACCGTTTATTAATGTGGATGCAATAAATGCAATATAATTCCACATCACCAAAAAAAATCCTGACACGTCAATACAGTTTAATTATTACCTTTTTAAAACTTTTTACCTTTCATGCATGTAGTTTTAGCTCCCACTTAACAAATTAGCAAATGAGTGTATGTACTGTAATTGCTATGTTGTGCTATGTTGTTGTTATTACACAAAATGCAATAAATGACAATCCAACCCCATTTATTTAGACTTTTGGTCACAAAGAGATTTAGCTTAAGGTTCCTCAAACTAGAAAACAGACAACTTAGAACAGGGTGCTGACATTAACTTTGCTCAGTGTTTCTTTGTTGTTCATCTGATAAATATGTTCCTTCTTTGGAGCAAACCTGTGTCTGTGAATCTGTCTATAAGCACCTGCAACATCCAGAGGTTTGGAGAGCCTCATAAGAGCGACGTCATTCTTGCGAGTCAGTATGTTGAAGCCTTCATGCATTATAATGCGACTGACAGAGTAAGCAGGTTTGAACAGAGTGTTCAATCGATCCACTATCCCAGCATACACAGACCAGTCTCTAGGACTGGAGGTCCTGCAGGGGAGAAACAGCAGAGGGAGGATTCAGGCTGGATCAGAGCTCAGTTACTTCTGTAAGGAGTGTGGAGGAGGAGGAGGGAGGACTCACCTGACCACACAGTGTGCTGCAGTGACTATCCAGTAAGGGGAGATGATGGCTCCTCCGCAGCGGTGAACGCCTGCAACTTGGAGGCTGACCTGCCACGGCCAGGAGCCCACAGAGGCCAAACTGGCCCGAGAGGCCTTGCTGGAGTTCACACCGCTGCCACAATCTGAAAATACGACTGCTGTTAGAGAGGAGGCATTTCACTGCATCGGGGTTTCACATGCAGGTAGAAAAGGGGTCATGATTCTATGTAAAAACAATCCAAGTCCAGGTAAAAGCAGTGAGAAGATGTACTCAGAGGGGAAATCACTGGACAAACACAAAAATACAATGTAGAGGAGATCAAAAAAAAAAATTCCCAAAAAGAAAAAATGAATTTATAATGTGGAAATCAAAACATTCAACTGCATGATGCTGTCAACACGACTTCATTTTAAGTTTTGATTTTTGCACAATAACTTACCAGTACAACGCAATGTCACCACACTGTTGTTGGGACACGTGTTGCTGTAGATGGCAAAAAAAGACAGTCAAATTAGTTTAACACTGATTTAATATTAACATTATGGCTTATCTTTATAGCTCACTCACCTCAATACAAGCTGTTGGGATATGAATGTCTGAGGAATGAAATCAGACTTCACTGTTAAAAATCGACCACCAGAGTCGGTCGTCTGTTGGCCTGATTTAAAGTATGTGCCCCTGTCAAATATAAATCAAAAACAAGTTTATTTTAGGCACATAAATCCTTGACAACAGTATTTTTAGTGAATCATTTGAGCTTCTTACCTGCTGTAGCCGATGTTCTGGCAGCTTGCCCTCCCCTGCTGGTCGGTCCAGCCGTGAGAACAAACACTCCTCCAGTCTTTAGTCTGAGTCGAGTAGATCTGCAGCAGGAAACTGGAGCCATGCAGCCTCACTGAGCACAAACAGCAAACGATGACTTGGCATTTGGTTAAAAGGGGAAAGTAGGTAAAGAGGGCAAAGAAGGCCAGAGTCGAGAAAAGTGCCTAAAAAGGTGCCAATTCACAAGTACTGTAGTTTACAAATGGACACTTATGCAAATGTGTGCATATTAAACTGGACAATACATCATTTGCATTTTTTTAACCAAAATTTCACAAAGCTTGTATTACAAAAAGCAATTGTCCTGATTTGCTATACTGCTATAATGTGTAGACTGAGGAAGTTTCATGATGAAGTCTATCAGATCAATTTGACATACAAAATGTGTGTCATTTTAAAATACTCATCTTAAAAAGCCTTTTTTTTTTTCAAATTGCTTTTCCCCTCTCTAATTTTAGGCTACAAATCTCTACTTCAGTAACATTTCCATACACCAAACTTTCCATTGTTTTCCCTATGTTCTGAAAATGTTCACACAGTGGCCTTTCTGTATGTAAACTTAGCATTTTCAACATTTTATTTAAAACAACAACCCAGAAACAAGCAAAAATGATAATTAACAGATTTTTTTGTGGCTGTTGACAGAATTTTTCCATTTATGGAAAGATGAAAAGAAATATCCAGAATCCCCTCTGTAAAAACGTTTGTAATATGTTGAATTTTGAACTTCGCTTTACTCAGTGCTCAAATTTCTGTCTGGAAATTGCAGCAAATTCGCACAAATGTTTCAGTTGCATAAACATACTATTCAGATATCTTATAGCTTAAATAAAGCAGAATTGCCATAATGTATGTTATCAGTTGGGAAAGTTTCATGGCAATATTAGTTAAAAATGTTACCTTATTCACCTGTAATTTCTCTTTAAGTGGGTTTAATTATGTGTACAAGTCTGTTTACCACAGTTACTTTCATCCTGGCCTGCAGGGCAGTCCGTCACGCCGTTACACCACTGAGACTCCCACACACAGCTCCCATCACCGCACTGCATGCCCCTCACACAGGGCGAGGAATCTGGAAGTCAGGGGGTTTGTGTGAGAACATACATAATACATGTATGTAAATTGAAGGTTTCATCTACAAAAGCTGTAGGTTCATGATCCTTTAATAACTCACAGTAATAAGCGAGGAGGATTCCAGCCAGCAGCAGGAGGAGCAGCAGGCAGATCACAGCTGCCACAGTGAACTTAACACACCTCTGCTTTACATCTGATAGGACAACACACACTGTGACTGGAAACCCATTTATACACACCTCACCCACTTGTTGTATGTGTTGCAGAAGCTGTTCAAGTAATCCATCCATTATCTATACACCACTTAATCCTCACTAGGGTCGCGGGGGTGCTGAAGCCACAGGGCCACACTTAGAGACAGACGACCAAGCACACTCACATTCACACCTACGGACAATTTAGAATCACCAATTAACCTCAACATGTTTTTGGACTGTGTGGGAGGAAGGAGGTTACTCATTAGAATTATTTATCTATTGTTATAGCATGAAATGTATTGAGTTAAGAGTGTGTATATGAAGATTTTTGCTAAATTAATGGTCATTTTATGTCTGTCTCGTCTTCAGTGAACATTAAAATGTACTTTGAGAACAATTCTGAAATTAAAGTGACAATTAAAGTGACAATTAATATTTTAGTGCTATGACAGGACACAGGAATACCTTTGTGTTTGACGTTGGATTGGCTGACTTCAGGTGGAGGCTTCACAGCCACATGATGAACATACTGAGGTTTAACATCTGATCGGCTCGGTGGAGAAAGTTTCCTCATCTCAACATCATGTATGAAACAAGGACCTGAGTTCACATACTGTTGGTAAACGACAGGGACAAGAATAAAACCTTCATACTCCACATGAAAAATTACAAAATGTAAAAATACCTAATTGGTCCAGCATTTCAAACAAATATTTCAAAATCTTTTACTCACTCAACTTTAAAAAACTTTTATTTTTTTAATGCTGGCGTTATTATATTACAGTAGGAAAAGGAGATAAAGTATAAAATGTGAATATTTAAGTTGAAACTTACCGGATTGGTGGTCATTCTGTATGAAAGCAATGATATCCTGCAGCTGAAAAAGTGTCTTCTTATGAGAATTCAAACATCAATTTTGCATTCAAATAACAAAACCAGTGCCTGAAGCTGTTAAAAAAAAAGAAAAAAAAAAGTTTCACAGCTTTGTTCTCTGGAAATATAGAATGATGACCTCCAGCATCTCCTCGCACACTGGCCCTGTTCTGCTCTCTGCAATGATCAAATAAAGGGCTGGACATCTAAATGGCCACTCCTGCACTTCACACTGCGTCGGTTTGAAGTTTCCCTTCTGAGCACACAACAAGCACAATAAGGACTCTTACCTCGTCTAAATATCATGCTGGTGTTATCTGCTGGGCTGTCAGTGTGGTGAATGAGCACTGCTGCAATGGAAAGGTACAACACTACATGACGGATACAGGCAAACACATAACGCTTCAGTACTCCAGTCTGTGAAGACGCTGAGAGCAGCTTTTACCTGTAATTAATTTTGGAATAAATTACTAAAATAAAGAAAAAACGCCCTACTTTACTTTTTACTGCTGTTTGTGTTTAATGACACAGTAATCATTTTTAAGAGCAGCAGGCAAATAGTACAAAGCAAAGCTGTTGAACAGAACAAACTGTACACAAATAACACATTTCTAGAGATACTAACAATATTTACTAACCTAATACACAAAAACGAACCGTTACCAACAGCTAAAGTGAAACAAAACCTGCATAGGAACCTAAACAGTGTTCCATGTTCAGCTAATTTAAAGGCATAATGTGTCATACATTCATAAGGCATGTGTTCATAGGAAAGATCTTTGGACATTCATTGGCAATAATTAACTACTTCATATGTATAAACAGTAAAAAAAAAAATACATAGAGAAAGGGTTCAACGTTTACAGCAAACATGTCATCCCCTAAACCAGACTGTTCACAGCCACACAGTTGATTGGTCTTGGTTATTTCACAGCTACTCTCATACAGCCAGACGAATGGTCTGACTGCACCTTATTATCATCCTGCTGCACAAGGGGAAAAAACTCGAACATTTCTTTAGACCAGTCACCTTGGGCGGTGGCAGGTGGTAAGCCCAGGATGCAGTGATGGAAAATCGTGTCACGGAAATCGTTTTGGTGGAACACTTGATATGCAGGGAGGTGAGCATCATCACTAAAATGCTAAATTCACCAAAAGAACCAAGAAGGCCTGCCTTATTGCACAATCCAAATTCAATTTTCAGCATGCAGGTTAATGTTTTTGTTTCTGGCAGTAAATGGGATTACAGAGGATGAGGACAAAGCCACATGACTAGTGCAGAGGAAACGGCAGGCTTATGACCAAAATCTACATCTGGTGAGTCAGACTAATTTGCAGGTTATGGCTGCAAAACAGTGGTTGACTGCGCAGTTTATTTTCCAAGAACTGCTTAATATAATTTGCTATATTGATTTGATATTGTAATGTACAGGTCAGCAGCAACTGATTTAAAAGGACAACATGCTGTCGCTCTGCTGAGTCTGTTTTATGAGTATAAACATAGAAAAGAGCAAAATGTATGGCCTTCATTTGATAAACTATAGAGAACTTTGCTTTTTAAAAGCAGGAATGTAACCAGTTATAGTAGACCTCTCAAAACTATACCCAGGCCTGCCACCCTGGGAAGAGTCTGCTGAGGTTTTTAGGGTCCATGGCTTGTTGGATGAGCAGGTTGACCTGCCCACCAACGCTGAGCACTGTGCCCTCCTCCACGCCCTTCAGCTTTTCCTGCAGTCGCAGCAGCACCCGCTCTGCCACCTTGTTGAAGCTCTGGCTGTCACTGCAGGGAGAGGAGCATGAGGAGATGAGTATGAGATTTCTGAGAGGTAAAAATAGCGAACAGATCTCATTTTACAATTTAAGCAGTAAAAACTTCCTGAACAGTTTAACCCCCTGAAGCTGAAAAACAAACTGACAGGGTTGAAAAGGCATGTTGTCTTTAAAAACTGGCCAAACTTACACCTTTTTATCAGAGCTAGAAACTATATGAAACAGAAGGAATCATTGAATCTTTAAAATAAACCATTTGCACTAACCAGATTATTTAAAAAATCTATTCTGTGCTCATAGGTGCAACAAGAAGCTATGACTGACTCAGCTGCAATCAAGAGCTATGTGACAAAAACTGGTCTCCGACCTGTGATGTGTTCAAACAGCACAGGTCAGAGACAAGTTTGGAAACAAATTCAAAATAAGCAGTAATATGTTTGTAGTATGTAGAGTCCCCATTTTTGTAAGTATTGCAGTAAACATGAACCCACAGTGAGTAAAAGCGTAAAAGTGATTATTTCTGAGACATGTATCCTCCTGTACTTGATCACCTGGATTTTCGATGGTTGTTGAGGTCATCTCCCCCCATAGTGGAGCTCAGCGTTGCGTTGAGCTCCTGCTGCTCATCGTGCTGCAGGTGGAAGGCCTTCAGAGGGTTCATGGTCCAGTCAAACAAAGGGTCATACAGCAGCACCTACACAGCACACACAAACGTATAGAAAGGCATTGCTTAATTTAAAGAAAAACAAAAACATGCCATTTAGGAGTGAGTGTAAACTGTGCCATACCTCTACAATGGTCAGCAGAGCTTCTTGAGAACTCCTCATCACCTCCATCGTCTTCTCGCAACATCTGAAAACATGTGAAGTTCAGATTATAGCTAAATCTGCTACACAGATATTACCGAACATCTGCCCAGCTTCAATCACAATCGATTTCCCAACACAAATCCTATCTATGACTTAAAAAAAACTCTTTGACATGTGGTTCATTTTTAAACTATTAAATGTATTTTGCTTGTCAGCTTGCTTACTTATATAAAGGAAGAAGAGTTTTTATAATGTATTTCATGGGAAAACTCTAAAAAGATTTGCAGAAAAATTTGCCAAATTCATCTTGAACTGTGGGCTGCAAGGCGGCTCGTGGTTAGCATCGCTGCCTTGCAGCAAGAAGATCGCTGGGTCACATCCCGGTGA